CGCGGGCAGCGGGGAGGCGCCGCCAGCAGGTACTGCCCGTCCCCTCCCGCGGGTGGTGTCAGGCCGGGGGGTTCCTCAGCCCCGTCCCTTGGGAGCGTGGGACGCGCTCCGCTCCCGCTGTCCCTGGGCCCGTGTTCCCAACATGCTGCCGCCCAACATGGCGCTGCCCGGCGGACGGGCCGGGGCCGCCGCCTCTCCTCTCCTCTCCTCGCCTCGCCGGGAGCTGCAGCGGGCCGGGGCAGCGCGGCCGAGGAGCTTTGCTGTGATCCCCCGTTGTCCCGCCGCAGTTCGGTTCCCACAAGGCGGCCCGGCACCGTCCCCGGTGCGGCAAAGGCTGCGGGGAGCCGGCCCGGGAGAGCCCGCACGGACAAAGGGCCCGCGGCGCGCTGAGGGCGGGCGCGTCCCGGTGCCGCTCCAGCGGCGGGGCCCGAGCTGCCTCTGCCTGCGCGACTGCCTCTGGCTTTCTCGGGTGCTCGAGTCAGGGRAACTGGGTGCTGRACAGATCTTTTATTAACATGTTTGMGGGCAGGCWAACCCCTAAAGGCTCTGCTCAGCTGTAGTAGCAATATGGAACTCCAGAACCGGCTTCCTCCTTGCGCTGACGTTCTCTAGTTTTGGGCATCCTCCGGATTCCACAGCAGACCCTGATGGCTCATAATTTCAAATGTCTTTGCTTGCAGCCTCAGAATTTGAGAGTTAGTCTACCTGTGTGTCCTCCCAGTAGCTAAAACTCCTACCACCTCAGATTACCTGTTCAGAAGCATCTCTCCTTTTAGAACATCGTGGTTTCACTCTGTGGAGCTGAGGCAACATTTCAAACAGATGATTTTTCTCAAGAAAAATGCCTTAAAACTATGGGTAGCAAGAAAGTATTTGCTGGCTTTGCATGTGAATGACATTGCCTGTAACATGGGCAGGTAGTTTATCCCTAATGACAGGAAATCCTAAAATGCCCTTCAGGGAAGGTGTGGGCACTCCGGGCTGTGTTTTRGCCCTGCTAGCAGGGCATTGCCATTTCCTGTCACTGGATTATCTTGCTCTTTGTCCAGGGTAGTGCCCAGCCTCACCTCCTTGCTGCGTCAGTGGGCAGCACTTTAGTGAYGATAATCCTTTTGCAGCATCATCTGATGACTTTTGTGAAAGTCCCTGTCTAAAGGTATAGCCAGCCTTGTCTTGAGTGGCTGTGCTCCCTCCCAYTGGATTTGCCATGGATGAAGATTAATCAGGTGGTTTAATTTTTCCACAAGAAAAATGCCCAAATTTCAAGGTTAAACCAATTTAGCAGGATTATGTGTGGACAATAATTCTGTAACGCTATAATAAACTTAAGTAAGAGCATCCACACAGGTATTTTTCATCGGCTTAATTAAACTGGTTAAAATATAATTTAGCCTAATTTCAGCTTCCTTACTGAGACACAGCAGGTTTTTTACCTGCAAACAGCATCTCCTTGTSTGGATGGAGACTGTTTGCACATACCCATTTTGCTGCTCTGAGTGCATGACAGTGTGTTAACAGCTATTACTGAGCTTGGCTTAGACCTACATTTTCTATTCAGTAAGCCAGATGAGTCCCTCAGTTMAGATGTGTAATTATTTCCTTTATTCTTCTCTTTAATTATGTTCTTGAAACACRGTGCTAATGCACTGTAGGTTATATTTTACACATGTATATAGATCAGAATGTGTGTTATTCAAACTTTGCTCTGTTAATCTTTTAGGTCCATTTCTGCTCAACAGTGCAATCTTAATTCTGAAGATCATAGGGGCTCACTAACATTTCAGGAGGATTAGAGCAATTCACATCCCTAATTTAATGATTTATGGTGAGCTGTCAGTGCACTTACCTCATAATATTCCATGGCTGGACTGTGACAGGAAAAAAAAGTGTTCTGAAAGAAGAGGTGTGTTATTTAACATTAGAAACATTTCTGAGGCAGAGGAATATGACTTTTGTGCCTAGCAGCCGTATCATGTGCTAAATGACTGTTAATATGTAAGTCTGTTTACCTGCTCAGACTCCCACAGYTGCATTCACCACTGGTTTAGGGAACTCTGGTGGAGTTAACACCCACTTGTGCCAGCAGTGAATCTGGCCCAGAGGCGCTGTTCCCGTGCCATCAAAATATTGGTGCTGAACCCAAGCTTTTCCGGATTACATTTTTTAAAAATACCACCATGATCATSTAAATTTTACTGAACATTTTTCTCTCAGCATTTACTATAGTGAAATGGACTAATATTGGACATTTGTATTTGATATGTGCTTAAAATGAATTTTTTTGCCCCCCTCCCCCCAGGTACAAACTGCAGCTTATTGCAGGAAATGGATGTCATCCAGAAGCAGGATGAAAGCTGTTACTGCTATGTTCAAAACAGAACTATTCACTTACAGTACCTTTGGTCAACTCTCCAGGTAGGAGCCMTTTTGGGGATCATGGAGTACATTTCATGTGAGCTTTTCCCAGCAAAGCATATGGCCAGTGAGCAAGATCAGGACAGCATCTCTCTGTAATTATTAATTGGAGTGGTGTATATTTGGGACCATGATAAAATGGCAGCATTACGAGTCTCCAGCTGGGATGCAGTGAGTTTTAGTCTGTACTGTAAGGATGTCAGTCAGGCTTAKAGTATGATGGTGCCACAAAAATATTAGGATTGCATGTTACTGCACACCTTTTCCACTGATGGACCACTATTAAACCCCTACCACAAGTGCCTTTGTAAAATTGCTGAGTTTGAGGACTAAATTCACTTCTGTGGCTCTATCACTGTAGCACACCAGGCTGGTGTAGGAACCAAAGGTTCATTGGACTGTGACTAATGAACAAACAGCAGCAGCAGTGTGTTTCTGTTTTCCTGAGTAACAGAGGGTTGTCTTACAAGACACACATATAGATAGTAATTTGAAACAAATAAAAATCTCTTTAAGAGTGGAAGAAGTAACAGCTAATGAGGTAGCCATCTCCATAGTTACTTTTCTTTTCCGAGAAGTATGTCTGCAGACTAAGGAAACGGTTTCATTTTGTGTCTCTTGGAGGACTTTTCTCTCAGATAGAAGAAACACATCTTTGTCTGTTCTGAGGACTATTTTCCAMAGGAACRTGTTGCAGATGTTTTTGTGAATGGTATCAGGTGGTAAAACCCTCCCTCAGTCATACAGACTTYCTGGAGTCAGTGTTTAAAAGCAGGAAGTTTGGATTTTCCCACAGCAAATTGCCTGCTGATGCACTGTCTCCTCTCCCAGTACAAACCTGGTTTATTACCTGTTGCATCACTTTTTTGTAGATGGGTCTGTTGTCTAATGGGCCCTGATCAAGAACTCAATATGTATCAGTCTCTAGGAAAATCATCCCAACTTAGAAGACAGACAAGATCTTTTATCAGTTTGGTGAGGGATGGCACTGGGAAAAAACCACCTGGGAAAACTGGGAAAAAAAGCCCCAAATACCCAACAGGAATGTGCTTCTATTTAAATTTCTGGTTATGCTGTCTTTCAGTTTCCTTATCGCTGTTGTGTCCTCAACATGAGCATTGCATTATAAAGAAAAGCAAGTCCAATTTGTTATGGTTTAGGGGTGCAAGGAGGAGGGATATGAGCATCCACAAAAGAAAGTGTGGTCAGTCAGATATTGCTGTTTTTGTTAGAAATTTGTGGGCAAGTGTCAMAATAAAACCAAACCCACTGAACTTTGCTGCCAGTGAGTTCTCTGAATTACCTTTAAGGCAATTAATTATAAACAATCTTTGCACAATATAAATAACCAATACTGAACAGTTAAGATGGATTTTCAAAACCACATGCATGGCTTATATGTGATATAGTTCARAAAAACAAAACCCTACACTGTTTCTGAGATGATTCTCTGTGTATTCTGTTCTTTGTTTCTAGATAAAAGTTAACAGCAAAGAAAAGTTCAGGTTTGAGCCTATTTCAGAAAAAAACAACTGTCGGTATTCAGAAACTGTTTTTGAATTTGCTGCATGTGCTGTTCAAATCCTCTGGAAGCCAGAGACATGTACAGAAACYTTTTTGAGCATAAAACAGTATGGAGAGGATGTTTGTTTCAAAATCCAACCCTTCAAAATTGAACCATACACTGTGAGGGTGAAACGAGAAAGTAAGTACCAAATCTTTGAGTTGAGRTTACAGATAGATCGGTATTGCCAGTGCTACTGAATGTACCATCTCTTCTGTAAGAACCTTGGGACTCTTCTATTGGTATTTTATATRATCAGCATTTCAGATTGAATTAGTCTAAAGTCGATTTCTATTTCTTTCCCCCTTTTTTAGTGCTAGATGGAAAGCTCTTGTTTTTGTTTGTAGCTGGAATTTTTCTGTTCCATTTTGCAAACAGCCTAAGCAGGTGAGTACTGGCTGCTTTTGACCTTCCTTCCCAAAGCCTGTGCGTCTTTGGTCTGTTTGCTATGCTGAAGAGGCAGTTCTTTGGGAAAGTGAAATAAGGAACTGAATATATATTTAAAACTTCCTCATACCATTTGTGTTTGGACAGATTGTGACATACCTTGGAGTGCTTAAGTTTTCTTATCAATTAGCTGTGTTATGGTTTTGGTATCCAAGCTTCCTGCACTGGGGGATACCAAGACAATCCTCAGTGAGCAGGTGCGTGGATGCAGAAAAATCCTCTTTCCTAGACCACTGAGGATAGCTGAAAGCTAATTAACGCAGCAGGTTATCAATGATGCCTTCCTTGGGGCGAAATATTTAGGATGAAGTAATCTTAGGCCTGCTCTGCCTCTGCCTTTGTGCCAGCCTTTCTTCTGATGCACGTTTTGCATAGCACATACTCAATTTTTATAGCAAAATATGTGGCCCACAACTTCAAAGCAAAGTGAGTCATGAAATAATTGTCAGGAGGCGCCTCTAAAACAAGCAGAGCAGCAATAGGTTTTATAGCATTAACTCTGAATTACTAAGTTGGACTTTATAAATGCATATGATTAGAAAAAAACCTTGTTGGTTTGCAGAGGGTTTTCTGTATTTTAAATTAAAATAAAACTTCTCTTGCAGTACAGAACCATATTGGTTATTTYATTTTCTTCTGTGTACTAGAGCCTAGAAGGTCAATTCAATCAGAAATAGCACGAGGTTTAAAAAACCCCAGCACAGTCTCCTAATGTACAACAACCCCAGTGACCTTAAATACCTGTTGGGAATTATTCCTTACACAGATTTAATACCTGAACTGGGCCTGTTAACCATATAAGTACAACTCTAACTTATAGTAGAGTTAAGTTCTTATTGAAGATCATTGCTGTTTTTACAAATGTTGGCATCTTAACCAATTACAAATTGTCTTTCTCACCATATTCTCTCTTGTTCTCTTTACAGGAATACCAAGTTCTTTTACCTTTCTGGAATAATACTGGGTCTTCTTGCTCTGCTAGTCTTTGTCCTGTTGACACTTAAAAGGTTTATTCCAAGGGTAAATCTATATTTATAAAACAAAATAATAGTAATCATCATAATATAAGAAATGAGAGTACAGAGCCAGATTCTGACCTTGTTCTGGTTTTGTGGCCAGGTAACTGCACTGAAATGACTGCAGGATTGTTTTCAAGTAAATATAGTTAGATCAGAGTCAAGTTCTGTTTAGCTTCCTCCTGAGTTTAACCTGAACAGGAGACTRGTGCTGTAGTTCATTCTGAAATATAAATTGCATTTATTGGATAGGAGCTAAGCTTACCTTTGAATCTGTGAATCAATCTAAATAAAAATACAGTGGCAAGTGGGACAGGTCCTCTTCCATTCACCAAAGCAAATTCATTGTAARGCAGATGTGAATTTTTCCTTTACCTTTACAAAGCCTGTGCATTCCCATAATATTGCTGAGGTATGTTAATTGGGAACACACTGCAGTAGTTGTACTGTGACATTGGGACATGGTACACAGAGATGTACACAGAGATGGGAGTTGTACTGGGACATGGTACACAGAGATGCAGTTGTTGGGCTTGGAATGGACACTGTTTTGTTGTAGCATGCAGAGGATTGTGCAGTGGAAGTCTCAGTACAGATCATAAACTCTGTAGGTCTGAAGAATCCCACTTGTGAGTTCCTTGGCAAACAGTGGTCCTGATTCTGACTTACAATTTTTGATGAAATCTTTTTACTTTTATTTTCTAGCACAGTACTTTCTGGATCTTAATGAGTGGCTCCTGGATGGCCTCTCTCTATTTTATTTACTGCTTCAAAGAGAATATGCAGTGGTTGTGGTCTGAACACAGAAACTACCTGTTGGGTAAGAAAATTGTCAAGAAATGTGAGATTTTGGTTTAATTTAGTGGTCAGATGAATACCTGCCCATAAAAAGTGAAAATAAAGTGAACTCATTTATGGAGTTTTTCCTCCATCTATTTTCTCCTAAGCYATAGATGTTGAAACATTCTAAAGGTTCCTAATCCATTCAAATGATTGTTTACTCATGTTGTGTTATTAAAGAAAGAGTTTGATGTAGAGGACTAGTGGTTCTAAGAGCAGCTTTTGCCTGYATTATTTGTTCATTGATTTGCTATTACGTACTTTCTCTGTAAGAGCAAAAGGGCAGCTCCTCTGGTTTGCACTTTGCTGGATGTGGGAAATGGATGCACAGATTGCTAAGTGGATGTGGCTGCAGGGGATGACAAACCTATTGATCTGGCACCTGCCTCGACATGGCCACAGGAGGAGAATTCATGTGAAGCCCACAGAACTGGCTAAAAGCTGTTCATAGATAGCCTCGTGAGCTCTTTGCACGCTTTGGAAGTACAAAGCATATGAAACATCCTGCAGTTATCTGTAAGACAACACATGAATCAGCAGGCTGCACTTCACAGCAGCTGCAGGCTTTGTGAAGCAAAGTAAAGTTTACAAGTATAGTTTACGTCTTTTTCTCCATGTTCTTTTCTGTTCCTGCAGGGTATTTTCTGGCTGTTGGGATCACCAGCTTTGTCGTTTGCTATCAGCATGGGCCACTGACCACTGAACTCAGCATAACCTTGTTCACATGGACACTCCAGTTAACAGCCTTTGTCCTGATCTACTGYGGTGTTACCATCCCTCAAGTTGCATATGCAGTCATAGCAATCAGCCTCTGCTCYAAAGGCCTCTGTTACCCCCTGGGTGCTGCTTGTCACATTGCCAGGTCTGTGTCTATTTGTGAATGTCTGAGTCCTGGGAGTACCAGGAAATACTGGAAGCTGATAATGAAAAAGCTCTGTACACTTCAGTAATGATTTGGCAATTTATGCTAGCTATACTTTTGCTAAACTTAAAAGGTTTAAGGAAAGGTTTAAGGTCCTGAGACACAGGAATTATTTTCCTTTTGGCAGTTTGAGAGATGAATTTTATTTGATGGATAATGGAGAAATGTGACTGTGCTTTTAAGAACAAATGTAGCATCTTCTAGTCCACAGCATATGGTAACCAGAACATTTCTGTTTGATTGATTAGACTGCAGTGATGCTGCCTTGGTTTGACACGTAGTGACAGAAGCTGCAGGGAACTCGTATGGAATTTTATGGGATAAAACAGTGTACCATTACCAAGGAAGCAGCTGTTCAAAAGTGACAGTCCTTAGAGGCTGGATAGCRTAGAATTTAGAGACTAAAATCACATGTCCACAAAAACAGTGTTCTCCACTGATTTTAGTTTTCCAAGGTTGTTRGCTCCCTTTGATTCAGGGAAGCAGTCTATTTGAACTGTGGCCATACTCCTCTGTATTCCTAGAGGCCCATATACATTGTAGCATTCGGAGTAAGAACTGCTTGCAGTAGGTAGACCTTAACTTGCTAATTATTTTCAATAGCAGTACAGGAACAACATGTTTGCTCATYCTTGAATCTGAAACATGTTTTAGCACAAGTGCAATGCTCAAATGAAGATTCTAAAAAGCCCTGCCAACTTRCATCTGTTTTTTACCTTCAGTGATGGATGGCATCCAGGTTCAGAATCTTTAGAACAAACTGTTCTATAGCTGTGGACTCTGCTGAACTGCAGAGAATAGGAAGAGGCAAAGGCTAGAACTGGCATAACTAAAATAATAAAACCCAAATAATTTGTCTTTTTTCAAACATTATTTAGTTTTGAAAAACAAACTGTTTTGTTCTTGTCTTCTCTTTTTACATGGTGAAGTTGGAAGCTTTTTTATTTTAGGTAGAATTTATTGTTTGTTGTAGACCAATTTTTGCCTGCAGCTGATAAGCACCAGCTGTTTCAAAAGCAGCWTGTAAGAGCAACACCTGTTGTAAGCAGGTTTAGAACACTGGAATCAGTATGATGTGGCTACAAGTTCACAGAACATACTTGCTTTACTCTGAAACACTARTTTATTCTTCATGTGGTTCTTTTATTCTGTTTCCATGAACTGATGTTTCTCTAAAGAAACACAGCTCTACAAATCTCTCTTAGGAGAATGATAAGGGCTTTTTTCTTTTTCTGTTTCAAAATCCCTAACCCACAGCACCAAACTGTGAGGCCATGATGCCAGATAAAGTGTTCAGAGTAGCAAATACATCAAAATATCTTATTGTCTTGCAGTATTTCTTGTTAAGAACAGTGGATCTCAGTGAGCGAGGAAGACCCTTCACCATTTGACTTGGACAATGGCTACAGTTCTCTACTTTAAAGGGATATAAGAAGGAAAGTTGAATGCTGCTGTTGGAGCAGGTGTTTTTATACAGAGCTGAAAGTTTTATGGGCATCCAGCCCTTGCTTATCTTAACTCATCACAACATTTAAATTGAAAGCAGTCGACAGAAGGGAATGGAACATGGCACACTTTCTAATTTATATCTAATTATATTATACATCACTCGGCAGCAGCTAAAAAACCATCAGATTGTAAACATTTTGGCCTCAGACTACTCAGTTTTGTAATTTAGAGCAAGATTTAAGAGAAGCAATCTAGTAAACAACATGAACAACTCACAACAGGCTCAGAGCATTGCTTTTCTYTGAAGTAACATATGCAGACTGGGTTTTGATTCAGCCCATGTCTCTGCACAGACTCATTTTGCATTTTGCACCTAAAAATGGCTGAGCAAGCAGCCATCTATTTAATTCTGTGAGATTTTAGTCCATGCATACACAATAAGGACCTSATCTAAAGCTCATTTGAAGCTCATTAAATACCATGTGAAATTCTACAGCCTCTGTTAAGACCTAGGGTAAACAGTCTAGCAAACATTGCATACCTTGTCCTCAAATGTAAGAATGTAGCTGGTTCTCTTAAAAGCATAGAGGTGATTAATGCATGTTAATAGCAGGTAKAGAGAAAAAAGGCAGATAATAATTATGTGCCAGGAGACTTTATAAATACTGATTATTTTAATTTCATTCTAGAAAAATTAAGCATCACTTTAAATCAAAAAAATTGGTGTTTAAATACCTTACYGAAGATGAGTATCGAGAACAAGGTGAAAGTGAAACTATCAGAGCTCTGGAGGAGCTGCGCTCATTCTGCAGGAGCCCTGACTTCCCATCRTGGATAGCTGTATCCAAACTCCAGGCTCCACACAGGTAAGAAAACCTGGCTCCTCTAAACCAGGAAACACATTGCACAGACACTGTCACACAGCAGACCTAAATGCCACTTAAGGCACWGTTCAGGTGTGTTTGTCTTGCATATCCCACTCAAGACCACAGCCACACCTCTCAAGGGTATTACTGGCTGGTGCCATTAAACCCCYGTTTGTTCCTCCCTGACCATCAGTTACTCTTGGGAGTTTGTAGACATTCACAGCTAATTCACAGTCGTAGAACTTCAGRCTTCCTACACTGCCTCTGTAAGCTCTTGTAGTGACCCTTGTGGCTCCCTAACCAGTGAAATTGCCCTCCTTCAGGTTTTGGAGCAGTGCACATTTTTATGGTGCAAAATTGGGGCAGGCCGAAGATACATACCCAAAATATTACCTATATTAAGCTCTGCAAACGTGCACAGTCAGGGAATCCTGTTACTGAAGTATCACTATCTAAGACTAAGAATACAGAGAAAGAAATCAATACCAGCACGTAGCAAGTAGAACAGATAGAGGAGCCGTGCCATGTATAGCTTAGGAGATAAACTTAAGACAAATATAGGTCAGGAAGGGACAAGCAAGCAAAACCAGAAAAACCCTGCAGAATATAAAATTAAATCATAACAGTGTATTCCCATCAAAACAAGATATCAGAAGCAGAGTTCATATATTAGCCAGTCACAAAGATTTAGTCCTTGCCACAGAACCAAGTGTCACGATTTCAAAGGAGCCCTAAACAGCCTGGAATTTAATCAATAGCAATTTAAACCCAGTTTCAGAACCTTCATCTTCCTTGGATTGGCACACAGACAGCCTCTCTGCCAGGTTTTATAGATTTACTGTTAAACAGTCTTACTTTCTAAGCTGCTTGCCTTCTTCAGCATGATGAARGATAAAAGATTGAAAGCTTACTGCAGTATTGCACAGCTAAATACCACCAAATGTACAGAACAACTGAGACACACTCATTTCTAGTTGTCATTTCGTTAATAGAGCTGTTAYGAACTGTTCACCAATTGAGAATATTGAAATAAAAAGGAGAACCAACAGAAATCAGATGTGGAGTAGCTCTCCCAGCTCCCATTAAGCATCAGACGGTGGTTCATCCCAAGGCAAGCCTGTTCCCCATTTAGACTAACAGAGCTTCCAAGAACAGCGAGGTGACGACATTCATCTCACAGAAATGTAAATTATTGATTGGTTTACCAGAACTCCAGAATGTAGCTGCATTTCCTTTTTCATACATTTCTCTGATGCTGTCGACACTTACCCAGGTGTCAGAACTGCCGTCTGTTCCCACACACTTGCCAGAAACCTCCAGCTCCGTTCTCTCTCTTCAATGGAGTTGCCCACTGAAAGTAAGACTTATGGCCAAGTGCAGTGTAGGGAGAGTGCTAAGTTCATCCTTTGTTTCCTGCCACACTTGCAGTTCAGCATTAACCTRGAGCAGCTGCAGAATTGCCAGTCTGCAGCTCCAGGTTCACCAGAAGCAGGAATTCTTTGGCAAGACTGGAGCTCAGCTTGCCCACAGTGTGCWTGCAGTACCAGCAGCACGGTGACTGCACAGCAATGCAGGAGTGCAGAATTCTTGCCCYTTTTTCCTTTCATTAGCAAAAGCAACTTAACTGAATTCTTACCCTCATAATATGCTACAGCTTAACTTCATTTTTAGAAGCTAAAGTACCAATTACCCCACTATACAAATGCTTACTCTGGATTACCCCACAAGCACTGACAAGATGTGAATGCAGTATTAGATCTTCTTGCTTAGTCACAAGACCTTGCAGATGGTCTCCAGAAGAGTGRAAGTTACTTCTACAGAAAATACTGAAAAGATGAGGCAGGAAAATCAATCTTTGGGGTTGTTGCCATCCATTATTGGAAAKTCTCCTCATCTGCACTGCCTGTGGGCATGTCCTTACAACACTCCTGCTTAACTAGCAATACCCCTAGYATTTACCATATTTATTCTTCTAATTTCTCAGCTGATCACTCTTCCCTTTAAAAATTTGGCAGGTTTGCAGCTTTTGTTCTGGGGTCTCCCCATGTCTCACCTGCAGAAACAAAGGCYCATGATGAGCAGTATGGCATTGGGAGCTTCTTCCTGGAAGAGCAGCTGTTTGAGGCAAGGGCACAGCCTGAGCAAGATGAGCAAGCCAATTCCGTCCATGAAGAAGATGGGGAGAATGAAGATGAAATGCATACACAGGTTCCATTTCCATATGCTACTGAGTTGCTCTGAGCTTTGAGAAATAAGGGAAAAAAAAAGACAGAAAACACACTTGTCCTAGAAAGGGAGGATACAGAATGAGAACTCACACTTGGCCTTTTTTTGTGGTTGCTGGTGGAAAAAGAAGGATTTTTGAAAAAACTGTTTCCTGTATCACTGATGTTACCTGATTAGAGTAATAGAAGGAAACCATAGGGGCTGTTCAAGTGAAGAGSAATCTCATGCTATTGGTATTTGCACTGGGGAAGCAAACATGTATTTCCAGGGCAAGTACTGGAGGCAGCCTGTCCCACCAGGATGCCTTGTTTTACCAAGGATACTACCTCTAGAAAACAGAGAATCTGTTTTGGCCCTTTCCACTTCAAGTCCTCTGTGCTGAGCACTAGAGGGAGGAAAAGCCATTTTTAATACTCTCTTTTTACTAAGTACCCTGTGTGTCAACACTTGTGATAATGCTGTTAGAGTGCCGATAAACTGTGTTCCTTGTTGGTGAGACTTTTCATAGAGAGTTAATGCAGCTGAATGAGGTTTGTTTCCTCTTCTGGCTGGGCTTGCTGTCTGTTAGCTTCATCCTGTCTCTCCCATTAGTTTTAAACTCCCCTTACCCCTCAGGATACACTTTTCACCCTCTGCCCATATTCTGTTTTTGTTCCCTGCTGTACACGTACTGCATTGTGTTCTTTCTATGTCTTTGTTTATTTATGTATTTTCTTCCCTCTTGTGCAGATCCTTCTGCTAACCCTCTGCTTCTCCACCTCTGACAATGCAGATGATTTAGATTTTCCATCCCCAAACRTTTTTGCTATTGCCTTCAGATTCAGTGTCAGCTTACCTCAGGCAGGTGCTGCTGTTCATTCCAGGCCTCTCAAGAGCCCAGCAGAAAAGAACACAAGAGCTGAGGCTGTTTCAGCTGCTTGGAGAAACTGCTATCAGCAGGGCCAAAGTGCTGCTGTGACCCTGGAACTGGGAATGCAGATAACCCATACAGAGCTCCACTGGCCTCAGAGTACTCACTCAGCAAGAAGTAGAAAATCATTCCTGGCAAAACAAGGAGAGAGGATACCYTCCCTTCCTTAGCTGTCTGTAGGACTTCTCACAGGAGATGGGTGAGGAGGAAAAACAGAACAGGGAGAGAAATTTAGGCAGTCATGTGTCTTTCAGTTCATGTATTACACAGTCATAGGCTAGGGAGTAGAGCATGCACCCTCAGTTCATCCACCTACAGATGAAATTTCCTTCTTTTGTTCTTCAGACTATCTCTCCTTATATTCTTGTGTCCTCACTTTGCTATTTTCCTTAGTGTCTCACAAACTGCAGAAAACAGAAGACCATTAAGTCTGCCACCGTCTGATCTTACAACCCCCCCAGGAACAGTCGGCGATGGGGGGCAGTTAGTGTCCCAGAAGGAAGGGCATGTCAGCCTGGGATCTGTCTGCTTTAAAAGGGGTGYCTGTTCTTTGTGACAGGCCTAATGGTGCAGCGTGACTTCAGCAGTGCAGCTGCTGTCCTGGGTTCTCCTTGTCCACCACTGTACCAGGGACAAAACCTGTTACCTTCAACGGTGCTAAGAGTGCAGCCAYACCACAATCCAAGAGCTCTTCTGTGTAACAAGGGACTCAGAGTTGGTGCTTGAAAGCCTTAAAGCCTTACTTATGTGGTCCTTTCTCCTTTATATTGCTTCAGCTTTGCTTCATTTTAAAATGAAGCACTTCCATTTTACAATAAACAGACATTTAACACTCTTCTGTGCCATCAAATTGTAAGTACCTATGCAGAATCTATAGCATGTTCAGCAGAGGAAGCAGGTGATCCAAAATACACTCACTGTTAAGTCCACAGCATTCAGAAACAGAGCAAGAGTCCTGTCTAGGAAGGCCATTAGCAGTGAGACTCATCCCTGAGAGAGGCTGCTCCTCCCAAAGCCACAGCTGCATTGCCAGCCACACTCTGGAAGTCAGGTTTGGCTTGCGGGGGGGCTCAGGCACTAGCAAGAAGGAGTTGTGAAAACAGAGGAAAGCTTCATTATCTTGGATGGTTTGGGAGAAGGGTGAAAACTGCCCCCTGAACAATTGTCACAGACCAAATGAGATTTATRAGATAATCTTTGCCTGTGTCACCATCATGAAAATRGAGTACYTAAAATTATTACAGATTAGGTAAAGGATACTCAAARAGATGTCTTAATGTTTTTACATGTTTTRAAGTACACAGGTTATTTTCAGTGTACTTCATAGTTAGCCAAGAACTYCCATCCAAGCAATTTGAGGCCAAGGAGGAGAATCAGATCTATCTGAGCTTAAACACAGTTTTTCCAGATGTCCTCTCTTTAGTGAGGTAGTGATGGCTACTTTTCCATAATATGGAGGTATGTAAGTACATATATGTACTACATAAATACATAATATGTATTTACATATAATAGCACAGATTATAGATTACGGTAGTATTTTACCTAAGCAATATGTTAAATGGAAAAGTCTCCCCAGTTTAGGTAATTACATGTTTTAGAAGAATATCAGGTGCACCTACTTCAACAAAGAAAAAGATGAAAAAGAAATAAAAATCAAACCCACATTGTATGTAGTTTTGAGGTCCATCATTTGGCAGGGATGGGTAAATACTATCCAAAGCAGAGCATAAAACTGCTAAATGCATGCAAGACAGAATGGCAGCACCATAAGAAAAATGATGGCTACTTTAGGGAATAGCTAATAGTGACCTTAAAAATCCTCCCAAGCCTGTTCCAACACTGGAAGGGTTTCATAAACAAGACCCAGCAAAACCAGCTGCTGTCACTGGAGCCCTGTTCACTTGCACAGTGCTGCTGTGATATGTGGAGATGACACAGCCTTACTGAAACACAATTAAGTGCTGTCCACTGTTCAGCCAGAAAATCTGGGAGCAGAATCTAGACATTAATCCATTSCCCTGTTATAGAAGCCTTTCTCCCTTAACAAAGGGTGCTACATTTTCCTCTGTTCCACAGWGTTTACAGCCATGTCCTGCACTCTTCATATCAACCAGTTTACAACGCACATTGGTTTGTGTCCCTTACATTCCCTGAACCCCACAGAAGGGAATTGGTGCCTACAGTCAGATTTTATTATGAAATACTGTTTTAACACAGKTCAAGAGTAGTTCCCAGGCTCTTGGTTCAGCGTCCTCCAGTATCTTTTGTAAAAGGTCATTATCACTGAAATATTTTCACTTCAGGTGGTTATGTTCACTGCTGACACTGTAAKATGAGCAAATGAAATAAAAGTTCATGTTGATACTATTAAATATGTTATGGATATTTTATATTTCTTACCACAGTTTTTACAGTTTCACAAATATCAAAATCCAGGTGTACATGTCCATTTTGCAACATAGAATGACTATACAATTCCAAAAAGAGCAGGCATTTCAAATACACAATTTCTGAAGTGTAAACACAGTGTACAAGCTCTTCACAATCCAGGTGCTATGCAGTAGCAGCTGAGGTAACACCRTACAGCATGAACTCAACAAATGGTTGGTTAGCCTCGAGATGGTTTTTAGCATCCTTCTGTCCTGTCACCTGTTCAGTCTTTAGTTCTCCCCCAAGTTATACAAACATACAATAAATACATTTCTGATTTTAAAGGACACTTAGACAAATCATGAGGATTTATGTGAGTACAGTACATTTAAGTTCAAGTGCAAAAAAAGTAACTAGTGGCTAGTCATTGATGTTTCTTTTTGTTGTCTATGGTGTTGGTCCCAGGCACTGCCAGAACGTGGGTTGTTCTAAAAGCACAGCTAAAGCACAGCTACGGGACACCCTTCAGTCACGCTAACAGATGTCAAAGTGGGTAAACCTGTGCACCCCCTTCCCTGCTCAGCTGCTGCCACCTTCCAGTCCCTGGCTCTGGGCTTCTGTTGGCCTTGCCTCTGGCTCAGTGCAGTCCCACAGCAGCACCTTCCCCATGGAAGGCCTCACACCTCACACTCACCTCATGGCCAGGAGGGCAGCTGAGCAGCTCCCTCAGTCCCACGGGAGCTGAGTGCTCWGCCTCTCCCAGGAACCAGCTGTTCATTTGAGAAATGGGCCAAAACACGATCCTGACTAAACCCCCTCGACTCTTCCCTGAGCCCGAGGATTTCCCTCCAGCAGCAATTTTCACTATGCTCCAGCACGAGCTGGCTGCAGACAGTATTAAGCATAACAAAACATAATCCAAAGTCCTCCAGTGTCTTCACATTGGGMAAAGTAACTTCCTAAACACGCTGCAATTGAGTTACATTTGCTTCCTCCTGAGAATCTCTCACTCTACTTGATTTCTGCATCCACTATTTTGCCCCTATAATCCTAAACATTAAGATTTTTAGGTGATTCTTCCCTAACCCCCCCACCTTCCCTAGGCACTTAAAGCTTACTGTTTTCTTAATAAATAACCATAGTAACTACACTGCATTAAATAAACCCTTGTATAGATGATGAAATAAAAAACAAAACCAAAAAGACCATTGATCAATCTCAGGCTGTGCAATCTTGATCAAAGATTCTTGTCTCAATACAACATCAAACCTCAAAATTACCCAAACACACACAACTTTATGCCCAGCTGCAGGGCTCCAAGCACAGAGGGTAACCTCTTCAGAAGCCTTCCTCCAGCTTTTGTGTTGCACTAAAATGCCAGTTCCAAACCTTTGCTTTGCAAAAYGAAACCTTTATCTCAAACAACAGAACATTAGCTTCAAAAACATATTCTTTGAATATGTGTGGWTTACTTAATCTGTCACCATAACATTAAGATACGCTTCCTTATGMTACTCTCTTTCTGAGAAATCTTTACAGAGACAGTTTCATGACATTCCTAGAATTATTGGATCTGCTGTTTTCTAATTGACTATTCAGGGAAACTCAGTGTCTCTCTTAAAAGTCTTTTAATTTTGATTTGGGAATAAAYTTAAAGAAAAAAAATTATCCAATCGAGTCAGACACTCTGTGCCTCAATAAGCCAGGAGTGAACTCTGTTTTTTCCAGATTGCAAAGAAATCTCATTGCACTTGACTCAGCTTCAGCAAAGCAGCCTCAGCTTGAGCAAAGACTTCTTCCTACCATTMTATCTGACCACATCACTTCCCTCAAGAATCTGAACTTTTGGCTTCCCTGCTCATGTAGCTCTGTGTAGTCATATGAATATTCTTAACATAGTTAAAAGCTTGCACTGCATCACATTATGATTGTTAAGATGAAGGAAGTCCTACTTTTGAGCTCCTACTCCAGCGTTTCCCAGGTGAAAAGCAGAATTCCATGCACTGGATTTGGTAAGATGAGCGCATCTCAGGGCCCTGCAGCAGCAGGCTGAGCATCATGATCCGACACAACACGGTTGCCATCTGCTTGGGAATCTGATGTTGCTGTAGGTGTTGGTGCCGAACAATTTCTGGACTGCTCAGAATCTGTCGGATTTTGGGGTTGTCTTGCTGAGCTGGCTGATGAAGCACTGCAATTCTCACTGGTTTTCTAAAAAGAGGATTACATGCCAAAAGTCAACATAAACACTCAGGACACAGTGCCCACTGGCACACCCCCCGATGCATTCAGGCACTGCTGGAAAGTCACAAAGCACTTGCTTTGAATGCCCGCAACATAACAARTCAAACTTAAAGCAGCAAAGCAAAAGTAGTACATTTAAATCCAGATGACACTAATAGCAAGCAGACAGCAGCTTACCTTCCATCTCTTTTCCTAACTGCACTTTCCCAAGAAGCATGCAAAAAACAAACTTGTTGTGTTTCAAGGGGAAAAAAACAGTTAACTGAACTTCAAAGTGTTTAGACAAGATAAATCTTTTGGTTAAGCAAGTCTATAACTAATTTTTCATGCCTCTTAAATACAGCTTTTCTCAGCTGGTCCCTCCCTCCCCAAGATACTGCTCAGACTTTCTGACTGGCASAATTTTTGCTGTACTGAGGTACAAATCCATCCAGTTCCCTCAAACAGACCTTACCAGGAAACATAAGAGCACATTTAAATGCTAGTTCCACTCCTAGGGCTGAAACAGGAAACCTTCACACTAACACATTTCACTGGAAGGTGATGAACTGCCTATGATTATTTGTTTTGCACTGAAGCACAGAGAATATAGCAAGTACATCCCTTTGTTTGAAAGAGTATAAGCAAGCAGAAGCAAAATTGATCCAAAAACTTAATGAAATAAGAAGGAATCATTTTTGTCACTAATTCTCTGTGCASTGACCCTCCTTCCAAATGTCTATTTTAAGGAAGCTATTTGACAATATTTAATAATTTCAAAATGCTGGGCAGCATTTTGCTAATTTCAGTATTTTACTATTATCAGCCTCAAATAAATGACTGAACACAAAACCTGAAATATTTTGAAGCAAGTTTGTCCTCTTGGAGTACTGAAACAGGGATAAGAGATTTTGGAGAATACAGGTGATGAAGAAAATTATACAATGAGGTGCACTGGATTTTGGCACATCAACAAGAAATACTTTTGTATCAGCACTGTATTTGTACAGGAAGAATAAAGAAGAGACCATGTGCCRTAGAGCACAGGCCCAAAAGCCCTTTTGGCCTCTTCACAGTTCTCAGGGAAGCAGCTGGGTTGTGTCCAACAGTGTTGGACAAGTCACCCTCAAACACCACACACCTGCAAAACATTATTTTCTTACTGCATTCATTGCCTAAGGACTGTGTGACTTTTTTTGTCTGATTTAACAGAGGGCAGCTTACGCTAACCAAGACCCTGAGGACATTTKCAATGGGAAACTAAGCAGTTTCTTTGGACACATTACTTTGGTGTCAGAGACCCTGTAATACCTTCAGCCTCACATTCTTTGACTCCGGAMAGGTCAAAACCAAACAAAAGCCCAGCCATAACCTAAAGCATGCCTGTAACCTATTTCCAAGAAAAAAGTCAAAAAAGAAGGGAAGGAGGTCACTGRCCAGGTGAAATTCCTACACACCGCTCTGCTGAGTCACGCTCATATCCCAAATTACCTGCTGCTAAAGACAGCACTTGTGGAAAAAGCATTTCTGTGTTTACGCCTACTGGGTACAAGAAGGAGCCTCACCCACTCCTTCCAGACAGGTAAACACAGCAGTTTGAGACTGACCATGCTGTTCTAAACCCTGAGTGACAGCACTTCCCCA